AAAGAAGCTGTCCTGCTAAGTAATGAATCTAAGAGTAATAGTATGACTTCAGGGTAGGCAAATATGGAAGCCGTAATTCAGGAAGTAATGGCTAGCCGACAACCTTGGCGTGAGTGTTGTTAATGAAATGAAAAGACTGGCAAGAGCACAAGAGCAATCCCCTGAAAACCTACCATGGCCTCACCAGCCAGGAACTTCCAAGTGCAGCCCAGCCCTAGACCCTGGGCTGAGGCGGCAGCTTCCAGCCCCGCTGGGCCTGGTACCAGCGTCCCCTTTCAGTGAAAACCTTCTTAAAGACATATTCAGCAGAACTGGCTCAGATACGTTTCTGTAGCATATACCAAAAAATCATCCCCAAAAGGCAGCTGCTAATACCAAGCAGCATTAGAAAGACACAATCCACCAAGCCATTTAAAGAAACAATGGCCCATTCCTTTTTATAGCCTTGAATCTCATGCTGGACCCTCCTGGTCCACTTGGCAAGAAGGAGCAGCCCTCTACTTTGGGCACCAAGCACCAGGCCACTCTGCCAGCTGGTGGGGAGCACAGGAAGGCCTGGCCCTCACATGGCTCCTGGGAGCCAGAGCCCCAAGAACCCACAGTTGGCTTGGCAGCCTGAGCTCACACGGCCCAGAGGAAAGCCACACGGAGCGGTGTTCAGGAGAGTGGGCAAGAGATTCACCAGGAACAAGAGGAAGGACAGGAAGGACAGCAAGCACCTCTCCAAGAGAAACTCACTGAGTTTCAGGGTGCTGACAAGCAAAGCTACCCTGGACCGAGGAAGGGGACCTGACTTCCTGTCCCCAGCACTGAGCACACCCCACGGAAGCTTAAAGACCTAGCAGGGGATGCTCACCATAAGGACTCCGGTACCCCACATACCCTGTGCACCTCAGCCAGCGGGGTCCTCCTGCCCAACAAAAACCAGAGACCACACGGTCGCTGTGTCAGGGCCAGGAGGCCAGCTTCACCAAAAACTAGTCTTTTTCTCACCACCTCATCCACGGCTCAAAACAAAACCATCCAAGTGGAATCAATAACGGGGTCACACGGGTGGGGAAAGCTGGCCCAGGTGTACTGGCTCCTAGCCTAGTGTCTTTCTATATAGTGTCCCTTCCTGTGTGCTACCAAGACCGTCCCCAGGCAGGACAGTCCGTGCCCTGCTGGACATGCAGTAGCCCGACTCTGCCAACAGTGCCAGTGGCATCCCCCAGTTCTAACAGCTACCAACAAGCATCCAGACATTTCCCAGCAGTCCCAAGGAGGCAGTAGGCTCCCACACCCCCTGTGCCCTACCATGGTGCCCCTCTGCATGGTTGCCGGGCACGCCCTCTTGCACCCAGCCCATCTGCCTCTCCTACCACCGAGTTCCAGCTCACTGCGGTCCTGGAGTCTCCCCTTCCTGGCCCAAACACAGCCCACGTTCCCCTGCCAGGTTGGACAGGCAGCACCAGTGACCTCACATCCTTGCTCACAGGGGCCTGCAGCAGCTTCCTGATCACTCTATGAAGTCTCTCCAGTAAGACGGAGACCTGGAAATGAAGCAGCTGCTCCTCTCCTCCCCACACCGAGGGAGAAGAAAAACAGTACTAGTACAGCTAGTGGGGAAGGCACTGTTCATCACACTGAGGGGTAGGCCAGGCATCACAGATCGGGCTCTGAGTGCTGACTGTTAAGCCAGCTTCCCAGCCACGCCTCCACCCCTGTGCAGTCCAGGTCAGTCCACAGAACAGGGCCCAGCCCAGCGGAGACGGTTCCTCGGCCGCGCCTCTACTCAGACCAAGGTGCGCACAGCACCTCAGGAATGGCTATCACAGAGCACACCAGGAAAACAGTATGACTCGCCCACAGGCCCAAACCATCAACTTCGGTGCAAATCCTCCCACTTCGCAAACTCTCGGCTGCCTGACCCGCTAATCGCCCAGGGACTGGCAAGCGGGAGCCGGACTATGGGCCAAACCCAGCTCACCACGCTCTTGCCACAGAACGGGAGGCACCTTGCGGGCTGCTGGGCGGGAGGGGACACTTGGGAAGGGGCCTGGCGCTGCCCACACCGTGGGTGTCCCTGTCCCAATCTGTGCCTGCCTGCTCTCCATCCCACTGTACTTCTGCGTGCGCGCACAGTGTACTGCCAAGGCCCTGCCGGGAGGACCTGCCCACGCTGCAGTGACCCTCGTCACCCCCGCTTCCGCCTTGCTATCGTCCCCTCTGAGAGCCTCATAGCCATTCCAGGGCTAAGCAGGAGCCACCAGCTACTTAACCACGTCCGCGGCTCCTGCTTCCCGGCTCCTGCCCGCCTGCCCTCCACGTGGCCGGGTCGGAGGAAGCAGCGCGAAGCTGGCCAGCGTCGTTAGTCCAGCCCGGCTTGACGGCTCCTTTCTCAGAGCATGGAGCACACTGTTCCGCCCCCTGGCATCTGCTGGCGCAGCTGCGGCCGGCTTTCATCCACGCCTGTCCTCCCGCGGTGGGTCCCGGCTGCCCGTCCTCGGGACTCTCTCTCCCTCCAATCTGTGCTTCTGCTCTCCGCCTCTGTGACTTCCTTCCGTCTCATCTTCCCGAGACTTGTTCACGGAATGTGAGTAACAGTTTCTTGAGTTCTCAGCTGGCCTTGTACACCCTGGCTCTCCGCCAGCCAGTTTTCTCTCTCTGAACCCAGCCTTCAGGCCGTCTTCCTCCTCATCTTCCCTCTGTCTTATTTTTGGTACCTCTGTCTACTCAGCAATTTCCTCAGAAGCGCCCACCGCGCCAGCTCTTGACGCTCTTCCCGGGGCCTAAGGACCAGGAATTTCAGTGGCAGTAAGTCTGACGGGCAGTTGTTCTGCTCTTGCTGAACTCTTCTGTCTCGCTCTCAATTCTGAGCTGCTCTTCACCGTTAACATTTTATGCGCACTCGCTCTGGGGTCCCTTCCTGCCGCTGGCCTAGCAGCTCTGCTGACGACAGTGGTGACTTCGGCCTGCTACTGGGCGCTCCCTTCCTACTCACGCTGCAGCTCTCCTCTGCTCAGAACTGTCTCGCTGTGGTTTCCGAACCGAACCTGGGTCTCTCTGATGGGACCAGCTTTGCTCCTATCTGTACCTTCCCAATCCTGACCACAACAGGCAGTTTCCACAATGCGCCTGGAGGGACTCACTGGGGTCACCTGGGGCAGCCTCAGCCACAGGAGCGACACCTGAGCTCCCACAAGGCCCGATGGAGGCACCGGGACCCGCAGCCGTGCTCCCACGAGGACGGTGCAGAACCAATCATACCACGCGACAGGAAGACGGAGGGCCGCCCTGGGCTGCGCGCTGCAAACAGCATCCGCCCGCCCGCCAGCCTGTCAGTAATCCAGGTCGTCAGACACAGGCTCAGGTGAACAATGAAAAGCCAGCATCGATCTTGCTGTACAGCTGATCTTATTTACAAACATAGCCAGATAATCCTGTGTTTAAACAGCACACGTTCCATTGCTCACCATCAGAGGAGTGACACTGGAAATTCATAAAGTTTTACGTTATGATTCAATCTCTTTTCTTGGGGCGGGGGGGCGCTTATGTTCTGGGAGAAAGACTAAAAATATGGAAACATTAACAAAGGGGGGAAGTGATGAATTGAGACTGGGCCAAAATGTCTCCAGTGGGCACATTTTTCTTCACCAGAAACAAAACAAGTCACAAGGACATAGGGATCAGCAATAGATAGGAGGTTTCTACTCTTCAACGACACAAAGAGATTCTAATTTCTCCGTGTCCTCGCCTAACTTATCAAAAGCAACGCAAACCCAGCTTTCCTCAATACAAAGAGTTTGGCTAATTTATTCCAATTAAACTGCAGAGTCTGAATCTTTTAAGCCACGTTGTGTAAGAGCCTCCTTTTGTCCATTTCGGATCCAGCAGCTGAGCTGAGACTCTTCAGCCATGGCTGTGGGGCAGCAGCTCGGGCGCAGCACGGGCACCGCAGGGCCAGCCTCACCTTCCAGGCTGCGGCCCAGTTCATCGCTGGGATGAGGGTCCCCTGCAGGGGGCTTCCCAGAGGGAACTTCCGGAAACCTCCATCCACAAGCCCTGCTCTGGGCTCTCCCTCCTGCGTCAGCGTCCACTGTCCTTCACCAGCGTCCTCTTTCCCCCACACATGGGTGCTCGTGCTGTACTCAAACATCTGCCCTGTCCTACAGGGAGGTCCTGGGGCGCCCTCAAAGTCCCTTCCCACTCCCTCCCAGGCACACAGCACAGCACCCAGCGCAAAGCAGGTGTCGAGGAAAGGCCCATGTGGGCACCGCAGAACCCAATGCATTCCAACCTGCATGCAAGGACTATCGCTGATCTCAGCCACCATCCTGCGACATTCACCAGCTCTGGTCCTCACTCCTGTCACCCAATAAGGCCATAAGTAGAATTCTTCCCCCAACCCGTTTCCACAAAAGCAGCCCTTATCACTGTGGTCTTTCGGTGAAAATCCCAGTCATCAAACCCAGCTGCCATGGATACCTGAGCACCCTGGCATGACACTCAGGGCTGTACCCACTCGGGTTTCCGACCAGGCTCAGCTGCAGTCTCCCGAGTGCTGAGGGCCCTACACCAAGGCTGGTAGGGCTAAGGGCTGCTTGAGGGTTCCGGCACTGCAGACCAGAGCCACACACAGCTCAAACCCAACCCTCCAAGGGGCAGGCTCCTCCAAATAATTTGCACCCGTGAGCAGCCACCGCAGGGTACTGATGGTTGGGGTCTGCAGGCAGCAGGTGAGGGACACCGGGATCAGACTTTGTGCCCACCTTCCCGCTGCAACCCTCAGTGGGACACCACGACCACCCCAGACCAAGGGCACATAGGACAGGTCTCACATCTCATCACCCAGAGGAGCCGTGCAGCCCCATGTAGACACCGAGCTTCTAAGCTTAGAAATAGCGGGGCTGAGACTCGGGCACAGGCCCATGGTGCTGGGCCCAGCTCCCTCTCCACCGAGGCCACTCGGACCCGGGCCCGCATCTCTCTGGGCTCCGCGCCCACGCAGTGCGGCTCACCTGGATGCCGTCCAGCAACTTGCTCATGCACCAGTAGGTGTCGGCCTCGATGTTGCGCAGCACGTCTGCGGGCACGCGGGAGACGTCAAGCGTGTCCACGTCGTCCTCCTCTGCACAGGCCAAGCACGGAAAAGACAAGGCAAAATTAACCACAGGAAGTAAACACGGCAGGGGTGGGGACCGCCAGTGAAGGGATCCACATGCCGCCGGTCTTGCTCTACCTCCACCCCATTTTTCATCCCGCTCACTAAATGGCTCGTGCAGTCTTACACCTCATCACTTAATGCTTCTCAATTTTAATACCTAATTAGTTGCAGATAATTAATATTCTGAATCCTCCCCGATTAATTAACATAATTAATATATTGTAAATTATTGCTTCTCAGGCATTTCACATTCTAATAAGGAAGAACCTAGAATATATTGCTTAATTCCTAGTGGAAATCCAGAAGTTTCTCCACCAGATTTTTTTTTTTTTTTTTGGAGACAGGGTCTTGCTGTGTAGTTCTAGCTGACCTTGAGTTCACTCTCTAGGCCAGGCTGGCCTCAAACTCACAGCAATCCTCCTGCCTCAACCTCCCAAGTGCTGGGATTGCAGGCATATATCACCACACCCGGCTCTCCATCATATTTTTAAAACACTGCTTCTAATATATTTATGTATTTGTTCAGCAATAATCCCTCTAAAAACTATTTCCAAGGTTAAAGTTCCAAAACTACCCTGAGTAAATACTTCTAAGTGGTGATCAAACACCCCAGAAAGCAGGAACACAGATGTGCCTCAAAGAAAACACCGACAATAGTGCTCTAAACAACTTCCTTGAGCCTATAAAGGTCTAATGAGAAAATACAACTTAAAAGTTCTTAGAATACAAAACAGATGCCTAATTGAAATGGCTTATCAGATATGTGAACAAACTAATGTTAGAGCCTTACAAAAACTGCTAGCATCCAGCATAAAACTCATAAATGCTTTTTAAAATTATGTATCCTATTTTTTAATTTTCTCACTTTTGTTATATTTGCAAATGTACATGCATCTTTACAAGAAAAATGTCCTTTTAGAAAAGAAACATTTGAACCCCAAAGGAATTTAGAAGGTTTTAAGCAGGGGAACCCCAATGATGCTCACGACAACAGCAACCGCTAACATTTATGGAGAGCTCACAGGTGCCAGGCCCTCCTCCGCGCGGAACCTGTGCCCACTCGCCTGCCCTGTCCACAACTCCAGCAGCACCGCCACAGCCAGACAGACCAGGGTTCGCACAGAAACAATGTGGAGGACACACCGAGCAGCCTAGGAGTGGAGCCTCAGCCTGGGCTCAGAGCCTGCAACCGTGACTGCACCCACAGGGACACAGAGCACCCTGCATGGTTCCCAGCTCTCACTGCAGACGAGCACGCCATCCCCCAGTGCATGGCTCAGGACAGAAGTCACAATGATAAAGACGGCATTTCCACGGCAGGACCCTCAAGTGAAGAGGATGGTGACACTCCAGGGCGCACACCGTGCGTGGCTCAGTCCTGCAGCAATGCAGGTCGTGGCCTCAGACGGCCCCACTGGCTCAGCCCACCAGCCACAGGCACGCAGCTCTCTGGGCGGCCAGAGGGCACCTGTAGGGACGGAGAACAACGGCGCTCACACTCCTTTCTTCCATGGATCAGGCTTAGGTTTGGTTCGGTTTGGGGGTTGTTTAAATTGAGAAATAATTACAGGGTGATGAAATCCACCCTTTAAAATACGCGACCCAGGGGTCCTTACTTCACACGCAGTGTTATGCACGCCCATCGCCCGGGTGAGAAACCTTGGGCCCTCGGCATCAGCCTCACCCCTCCTTCCCCAGGCCCCCGGTAGCCGCCAGCCTAACCCTAGCCCCGGACCTGCCGGTGCAGGCATTTCACAGAGGAGTGCCCCCGCCACGCGGCTGCGGAGCTGGCCTCCTCTCACCAGCACAGTTTTCAGGGTATGCACAGCAGAGCGTGCATCGGTTCCGCTTCCTTCTGTGGCTGAACAACACTGCATGGTAAGGATGGGCCACGCTGTGCTTCTGCATTGTCTCTGTGGCCCACAGGTTGTCACCACTATGGCTGAGGGACACAGCAGACGGCAGGTACCTCCTGAGCTGGCCGTGACACCCACACCCTCCAGCAGCTCTCACTCTAGCACACAAGGACAGCTCTGCCCACTGGAGCCCAGCCCGGTAAAGTACCAGGCCTGGGAGCCCTGCTGGCCAGGAGTGCAGCACTAGGCCTGAGCACACTGCTCTGAACGCTGCCTCTGGAATCCCACTGTGTAGCTAAGCAGTCACAGATGCAGATGCCATGTCTCCGAATGTTTGCCAGAGTGCGCCACAGGCAGTGGTGCGGGGGAAAGGGCAGGCCTGTCACAGCACCCAGGGTGGCCCCGCCGTGCCTCCCGCTGGCAAACCTGGGGGCCAAGGGCACAGACACTGGTGCCGGCAGCCACCTCACCGAGACAACAGCTTCAGCAGATGCCATCCCCATCCTGCCAGTCCAGAGCAGAGCTAAGTGTATCTGGAAATCTCAGAGACTGGAACCAGCAGCCGTGATCACAGCAAGTCTCCGAGACGTTTTCCAATGACACACTCTCTCTCTCAAGGGCCTTCCCAGCATGGGGCTCTCTCCTCAGCTACAGTAAAAGGTAAACAAGGAGACAGAGTCTGGAACCCCCGAGCCTTGCCTCGGCCATGGAAGCAGCTGGGCTCTTAGCCCGGACACACAGAAAACAGACGCTGTGTGGGATGGCAGAAGCCTCGATTTTTCTTAGTCTGTTTAGCTGGCTTATTATTTTATCCATGGAAATGTCAGCGGCCTATTCTAGGTGTCATTTCTCACAACGGGCCATTTGTTACTCTTCAATGTAATGAAGTAATGGCATTTAACTCAGAGAACCCCTGTGCCGATTTGTCTTCTAAACGCCAGGAGAATCGGAATTGCCCTTCCCACTAGAACGAGATAAATATCCCCCATCCAGGACCCAGACGGCGGCCACCCGCACTGGGGAGGCACCCAGAGCAGCACAGCATACTGGCAAGGCCACCCAGAGGCGTCATCAGCACAGGGCCCCGCAGAGGACAGGCAGACACTGATGGCCCTGGACAAAAGCCAGGCAAGATCAGCAGGCAGAGCTCCTCTTCCAACCGCTGGAAACCAACGTGCTGCCCCGTCCCAGGACAGGGAGAGGCACACATGTCGGGGGGCAGTGAATCAAGACCCTGAAGTGGCCAACATAGGAAAGACTTTAACTCAAGACCACAGACTCCAAAGACACACTTTCCCCCAAGCAGCCCCCTGCCCAGGGCAAGAGGCGGCGCACAGAGCCGCCAGAGTAGCTGCAGGAGTCCGGGACCAAGGTCGAGGCATGGGCAGTGGGCTTTGGCTCCCTACATACACATCAGGCAAATGGCCCGGAGATGACGCCATCGGCATTGATGAGAAGAATGGTTTCTCCACTCGGTCCCAAGTGAGAAAGTGAAACACAGACACTGAGGGAATCCAAGCAATCCCGGTGCTACGCCTGAAATAAGAAGGTCCTCCCAGGACTCAGTCTGGGGGTCTGCTCTCCACTGCAGCGGCCTTCACAGTGGGGCCGAGACTCAGCCGCACTGCGAGAGCACGGGCCTCACCGAGGACCGGCCCATGGACACTGGTGAGCTCACAGCTGAGTGGACGGGGGCCCTGCTGCAGGAGGAAGGTCACGGGGCGCCTTTGAGGGCACAGACTTTTCCGGCTCATTCCAACCTGCCCTGCTTCCTGCTGCTTCGAGGTGGGCAGCTCCCCTCCACCACGGTGTCTCTGCCGCAGAGCCAGCCACCAGGCCCCGAAACTGTGGGCCGGAATCAGCATGGCCTCCTCCTCCAAGTTATTCTTCTCGGGTATTAGGTATTTGGCCACAAAAACAGAAGGCTAAATGATACACCCAGAGCTTAGAGAAAGAAACATAATTCAGAGGGAAACGATAAATGCTTAGGTGAAAGCTGAAGAGGCAAGATCAGCCAGGCGAGCCACAGAGGCCTTGGCTCCGGGGCACGGCTGCCCCTCGGGGGCCTGGGGACGGGCTGAGGTGTTTCTCACCTGAGCTGGGGCGACACTCTGCCCCACAAGCTGCCTCCAGGTGGCCACGACATGAGCAGAACTCAGCCCTGGACGGTGGCTGGGGTCAGAGGTGCACACGGCCTCAACCTCTTCCCAGTCAGGTGAGACTGACTGGGTTGAAGCCAGAAGTTGATTCCTAGCACACAGGTCCCCTCCCCAGTCCTCACTGGCTGAGTTCCACGGGGCCACCATCCTGGATGCCACCTAGATTTTATTAGCATATGACCCCCGCCCACTCCCTCTGCAAAGACTTTAGGGGTGTTAAAGGCAAATGATTAAGCCACTTCCAGTACTTTCCCAATCACAGCTGCGCGGTAAGCCAGCTTTGTTACCTACCGCTTCCCCTTTGTTTAGGGACTTGCAGGTCCTGACCTCAGTCACCTCTGCAGGCAAGTAGGCAGTTCTGTCTACTAGTAGCTTGCTACTCAGAATTAAAGACTTTACCTTAAAATAGGCCATTTTAAGTTTCTATTTCTTACACTCGGGAACTCTCTAAGGTGACATTTATGCTAAACATGTTACTAAAAATAACGGAAACTAAACCAACTCATTTCATCTACAATTTGACTAGACTCTGCTTTTCATCGTTTTGTTATAAACTCACATCAACACTGGCACGTGTGACACTGCAAGGCGCCCAGCCCCTCTTCTCCCAGTGTCCACACTTCCTACGGAGGCCCGGCCCCATCCCTGTCCCTAAGGACACCAAGTTGAGCCCTGAGACTGGCAAAGGTGTTTAAAGCGCACAGCCCGACCCAGGGGATCTGGAGCAAGCAGAGAAGTCACTCTGAAGCCCAGGGAAGATCAGCAGCCCCGAGTGGCCCACCAGAAAATGCAAAGTCACAGGATGTAAGAACAGACATTTAATTAAAGATAATCTCACTTGCCATCTTACACTGTAGAAAAGCTTTAGGGGATGATTTAAAGAACCTTCTTTGAAAATGCTGTCCTGCTATGTTAAGTACAAACTTCAATTTGTAAAATAACTCCCTTT